AGAGGTTTGAGAGTGTTCTTGAGATAAACACCACAAAAGGGGAGGGAAGATTGACTAAAACTCCTGGCAGAGGGAGAAGGATAAAGTGGAATAGTTTCAATGGAAGCCCTAGCTAACCCTATGGGGAATTCAGAAGATAGACTGATCCTTCAACATTGTTCAGAATTGGGGCAAAATAATGAGGTATTTATATCTGTTTATGGCCAGTCATTTGACACTGTTTACTCAAGGAAAGGGTCATGATTTTGGGCAAATAACTCTCTTCATTAGAAATAATCCACAAAGAAGGGTGGAGTGAGCTGAAGACTATTGCCAGGGGCATTATCAGTAGTTGGGGCCCATAATCTTTTATTTCAGAAGTGGAACAGCAGGGGATCTGTGAAGGAAAAGAAAGATTTCATGTACTGCTAATTCTTTCAGCAATTATTTTCTGAGGCAGATAATAGGATGAAAAGGTACATCTTTTTGTTTCTTTTTATTACCAAATAAACACACCATGAACATCAAAGTAATGGAAGTACAACATAAAAATTGTGGACTAATGGGGTTTAATGTACAACTCTGCCTTTCCTGTGCTAATTGGTCATCTCAGTTAAGTCAGCCTTTTATTTGGCGATGCTTTAAAGATGCTCTCAAAGCCAGCTGAAGTAGATTCATGCAACAAATTTGGCTAAGAATCTTCACTGGGATGAGGAGGCTGCTCCAAGGACCCCTGTATGTCAACATTTTATAATGACACTAGGAGATAAAAATGTAAGTGGGAAGGTGGGAAGCATAGGGAGCTGCAAATAGAATTATATCTCTGTCCTTCATCCTTGGTCACTTTTGGGTGATCACAGTGCATGTTGGGTGCCTGCAAAGATGGATGTGTGGCCACCAGTGCTTTCCACTCCAGGCACACATGAAGATTGTGCTTTGATTTGTGGCCATGGCTGTAATTTGCAAAGCCTGTCACCATTTGCAACTTATAGTTAGTCCAAAGCTTTGTTGAAAAAGAGCTGCTCCATTCCTGACCACTGTACAACAGATTGATGTGTCATCTAAATTAATAACATTCGACTCCTCATTATACCAGGAAACATTTGCTCAAGCCATAACTCTGTCTCTTGATTTCGGGTTGGCTTCAGTAAACTTGTTTAGGTGCTAATTCTTTTGGCAGTTATTTTCTGAGTCCGATAACAGGATGAAAAGGTATGTCTTTTTGTTTCTTTTTATTAGCAAATAAGCACCATGAACATCAAAATAATGGAAGTACAACATATAAAATGGCCATAGGAGACATCCTTATTTAATGAAGGATAGGCAAGATAAAATGGTGGAGGTAGGCACTGATGGGGGCAGAGGGGTCTTAAACAGGATGAGATTATATAAGGTAATAGAATTCGAAGGTACAATAGGGATTTGGTGTGGGTATGGTGGAGCCATATTTATTTTCTCTTTTATTACCTTCACTATACATTGGCTTTCTTTCCATAGTAGCTGGCAGTGAATTTACAAGTTCATTTATAACTATGGAGGAAGTATTAAAAGAAGTCAAGACAGGGGAGGGTCAGGTTGATATTTAATTAGATTGGTTTTCTTTAAATTCAATCTCATTAGCATGAGACCATCTACTATGGACCATCCCTCCATAGTCTTTTTCAGAGCTAACTCTTGTTATGTATTTGAGTCTGCTATGGTTTCATCATACGTAGAACTTTCTATAAATTCAAGAGTCTCCTTATAGTAAGATTTTCTCATTCATCACAGAACAGGTAGAATTACTTTGTTTAGTGTTGAGATCTCTTTCATCCCAATTCCTGAATATCTTTCTCAAATTATTTTATTAGCATGTAATAGTTGTACAGGGGGAGACATTGTAATATTTACATATGTGCTTACAATATATCTTAGTAAGATTTACCCCTACATTGTTCTCCCTCTTCCCCCTATCCTCCTTCCTGGAATAATTTCAACAGGTTTCATTCTTCTACTTTCATGTATGGATACAAAACACATCCACCATATTCACCCTCTTTCCCCCTTTCATTGTGTCTACCCACCTCCCACTGATACCCACCCCTGGGAAAGACCATTTTCCCTCCTGCCCTTCATTTTTTTTTTTATTAAGTGAGTATTGATAGTCCAAGGGGGTTTCATCTTCAGGACTATAAATATTATGCTTTAATTAAATTAACTCCCCCATCCTGCTCCCCTAATATTGAACAACTTTCAGTATATCATATTATATTGTATTATATTATATTATATTGTATTATATTACATTGTATTATATTAATATATTGATGTCAAGCATTCTGTATCTTAAGGCATCTTTGCAAGTTTTTTCAGTTTGTATAACCATTGGGCCTATGGAAACTCATGTGACAATATTTCCCATTTAAGAATCTTCAAGGTTCTGTTTAATTAGAATCATAACAAAAAAAACCAAATAGCTATTTCTTTAAAGCAATAGTGATTCTAGGTGAGTTGTTCTGTCACTGGGCTTCCTTTTCTATTTTTGTGGTTTTCTGTGGGCCCCTGACAAGTCTTAAAATAATTATCTTTCATTGTCTTAGATTTCTACTTGTCTTAGTCTGTTCTGGCTGCTTACCATAAACTAGGTAGCTTATAACAGTAGAAATTTAGTTTTCACAGTTCTGGAGGCTGGACATCTAGGATCAAGGTGCCAACAGATTTGGTGTCTGGTGAGGGCCCACTCTCTGGTTCTTAGATGACACTTTCTGTCCACAGGTGATGGGAGGGTCAAAACAACAGTTTAGGACCTCTTTTATAAGGACACTAATTCCATTAATGAGGGCTCCAGCCTCATGACCTAATAATCTTCCAAAAGACTGTACTTCCTAGTACTACCCCTTTGGGGGTCCGAGGGGACACAAACATCTAGTCCATAGCACTACTATATCTTATAACCCAAGGACAGGTCAATTTTGTCTTAAGAGCAGACAGAAGTGTCATAGAAATCCAGGAGCAGGGAATGACTAAGGTTTGGAATGGGCACATATTATGTAATTGTTCTATTTTGACTTAATTCTCTTTTCCCCACCTACCCATTCTTGGTGCCTCAATCCTCCCTACTTTTCTGGTTTCCATGGTCCTTTGAAGTTCTCATTCAACTGTATGTTTAAATCCAAAGGAAGGAGCCAAGTTAAGCACCATTTTACCCTTAGTAGGACGAATCATTCCCAAATGACTAAGCATTCCATTTTTCATTTGGATAGCCTGTGGGAAATGTGAATAGTTCAAGCTATAAGAAACAAACATAGCCCCAAAGGGGCTAGCCACTCTCATTGTTGAATCAGGGTCTTGGGACATCAGCAGGATATTTCCCAACCTGTACTTTTTTCAGTAGTGGGTCTCCAAGAAATACTTAGCAATTTTTTACAACAATATGTTCTTGAGCTAAGAAATCATTATACAATTTTGCTTAAAAGCCCAGTTTCTTGTTCTCTTGTAACTGTACTTTGAAGCTCAAGTTGGGGGATAAAAAGGAACTATCCCTTGGAAAGAGAGACACTTTTGTTAGTCTGAATTGTTGTAAAATGGAGATGGACCATCAGGTAGAAGATGAGTTCACAGACCAAGCAATGAGATGCTATTACCCAGGAAGAAATCAGGTGGAAATGGACAGAGAGAGAAGGATAAGGCTGAGAGGGTGCTCATTTTGTAGTTCCAGGTCCTTGTAGCTATAAGGTGGAGATAAAATAAAGACTTGACATCTCAGAACAGCAAGTAAAATGCAGCTTAAAATGGGAGAAATTTAAAATCGCTTCTCCCTCAAAAAGAAGATGGAAACAGAGGATGCTCAGAATTGGCAGAAGGCTGTGTATGAAACACAGGTCAGTCTGAGACCTGTGGTATTATATGGATAAGAGAAAGAGCAATCTTTTCTATGTTGTTCTACAATAAATTGTGAGCTTGGATACCAGTAAGTTTAGTGTGAAAGTGTTTGAGCCTTCCTCTAACTTGCATATCTTGTCATCAGAGCAAAAGACAGATAGCAAACTAAATTAATAGAGAATGCTATTAATTTAACAGTTACATGTTTACGTGTGCTTCTCCCTAGTATCCATACCTGAATATCGTCTACATTTTTGGCCACTGATCCTTTATCACTTCTATATATAGATGTAAAGGCAAGTTGATGACATTTTAGATTAGTCACTCTGTTATGGCACAATATACATATATAATGGGGGAATTCTAAAATCCTTAGAAAATACAAGTACATGCATGCCTATGTGTGTGTGTCTGTGTGAGTATGTGCATATGTTTGTATAACTTACCTGATAGCAAAAGTGAACTGGCAGAAGACCACTTAGTCTTGATTCTACTTTATGTGACTCTTCACATGTTTTGCTATAGAAATATTAAAGTACTTGTTTTTGAGGAGCTGTCATAGGCTCTGGCCCCAGGGATTTTAGACAAGGAGAGTAGAGACCTATGTTGATTTTCTCTGAATTCCAAAAGATATCTTTTTGTTGTTGTTGTTAGTACTGGGATTTGAGCTTAGGGACTGTGCTTGCTAGGAAGTTGCTCTACCACTTGAGTCATGCTTCCAGACTTTTTGGCTTTAGGAGTTTCTCAAATAGGGTCTCATCATTTATACCTAGACCTGCCTATATCATAATCTTCTTATGTACACTTACACACAGCTAGAATGACAGGCACACACCACCATGACCAGCTTTTATTGATCAACATTCAGGTCTCTTGAACTTTTTGCCCTAGCTGGTCTCAAATGACCTCCTGATCTCTGCCTCCCATGTAGCTAGAATTACAGGTATGAGCCACCATGTAATAAGAAGAATAAAGCTATTATAAGTGTTTGCAATTCAAATTTGTGAAACAATTTATTGAAAACAAAAATTTAAAAGGGATTATATGAGAAAAATAATGGACATAAACCTCTATATCCAGCTGATTCAACGTCTCCATTACCACCTTTGGTTTGATTTTTCTCTCTCTCTCTCTTTTTCCCCATACTTCTACTATTCTAGGATGAGTCTTCCATGTTCTTCCAGTTTGGCCCCTCCATTGAACAGCAAGCTTCTGTCATGCTCAACATCATGGAAGAATACGACTGGTATATCTTTTCAATTGTTACCACCTACTTCCCTGGCTACCAGGACTTTGTGAACAAGATCCGTAGCACCATTGAGAATAGCTTCGTGGGATGGGAGCTGGAGGAAGTTCTCTTACTGGACATGTCCCTGGATGATGGAGACTCTAAGATCCAGAACCAGCTCAAGAAGCTTCAAAGCCCCATCATTCTTCTTTATTGTACTAAGGAAGAAGCCACCTACATCTTTGAAGTAGCTAACTCAGTAGGGCTCACCGGCTACGGCTACACATGGATCGTGCCCAGTTTGGTGGCAGGAGATACAGACACGGTGCCCTCGGAGTTTCCTACAGGGCTCATTTCTGTATCCTATGATGAATGGGACTATGGCCTCCCTGCCAGAGTGAGAGATGGGATCGCCATTATCACCACTGCTGCTTCTGACATGCTGTCTGAGCACAGCTTCATCCCCGAGCCCAAGAGTAGTTGTTACAACACTCATGAGAAGAGGATCTACCAGTCGAATATGCTGAATAGGTGAGTGTGCAGCAGAGGCACAAGATGGAAATGACAGGAGAGCTTTAAAGGCTGTGGTTGGAGGTTCAGAAAGGAGCAGATGGAAGGCTGGCCTCAGAGTGACAGTATATATGTATACGTATGTGTATACACATACATATATGTATACACATGTATGTATGCACATACATATATGCATATTTATTGTTTATCTGAAATTCAAATGTAACCAAGCTGTATTTTTTGTCACACTGGTGAAATGCCTTCTCTAGCCAATCCACAGCCTATCCAGAAGCAATTAACAAGTCTCTAGCTTCAAGGAGTCTTAAGAAGTTATCAGCAAGGAATTTTGATTAATACTTGATAAATAACATTCATTTGGTAGTGACTTAAAATAGTGCATTTTACTTATTTATTTTTGGTGATGGTGGTACTGGGATTTGAGCTAGGTAGGAGCTGTTAACACTTGAGCCATGCCCCCAGCCATGAAATAGGGCGTTTGAAAGGTCCTCTCTGAGAATACTTATATGTTTCAGGTCCAGACCTTGTTACACTGCATTCCTGTTCTAAGAAATATAAAACAACTTCTATTTATTAAGCACTTACTATGTGCTAAATGTTACTGAGTGCTTTGCATGTTGACCTCATTTAATCCCCTGCAGTAATCCCATTAATTGGGTTTTAAAAGTCGTTTCCATTTTTGCAATATGAAAGAAAAGGCTTGTAAATTGTTTGAAGGTATGGACAAGTGAGTAGATCAGTTTGGAGTTGAACCCAGGGCTTTCTGAACCCTAAGAATGTGATCAGTAAGAAAGATGCAGTAGACTTAGAAATGGGAGCATTCAAGTCCACTCTCCTTTAGAACACTGTCGCATTAGGAAGGAACAGAGTTACATATGAATTCTCTTACCTTGGAGGAAGAGACTTGGTTTTTGCCTCCTTTGCTTCTCTGCTGTCTTCAAGAGTAATGACGCTGTGGTACAAGGAAGGCAGCACTGATTCTTGTTCTTAGTCTGGTCTCTTCAGCAATACCAACATATGGGTGGCTTCTATTAGTCACTTTTTGTTACTGTGGCAAAATACCTGACAAAAACAACTTAAAGTCAAGAATTATTTATTTTTAGCTTATGGTTTCAGAGGTTTTAGTCCATAGTCCTTGGCTCTGTTAATTCTGGGACTATGGTGAGGTGAAACATGGTGGCAGGAACATGTGGCAGAAAGTGCTCACCTCATGGTGGAGAGGAAGCAGAGAGAGGGAAATGGACCTAGGTCCAGGCAGAACTTTCAAAGACATGTCCCCAGTGATTTACCTTCTCCAGCTAGACCCATCTCCTAATGGACATTCATATTCAAACCATACAGGTATAGTGCTGCTTGCTGATATCACCTTATAAAAGCCAGCCATGGCTGTACTGCACTCTCCTGGGGGAACTGGTTGACTGCCTGAAGTAGAAGATCTGTTTCTGATCTTATTATTTGTATAAAACTGCTATGTATGCACATTGCAAAAATTCAAACAAAATAGAAGAACACAAGGAGAAAATTAAAATGACCTTCATTTTAGTTAGCCAGGGATAATTATTGTTCAGATAAATGGCAAATATCCTTCTAGATATCTGTGCTTATAGATGTATAAATCCATAATTTTGCATAAGTGGAATTATGCCTGCTGTGCAATACATGATTTTCTTTTATTTAACAATATGCTTTGAACATCTGTTTTAAATTTTCTTTGAACTACATCAGATATACGGAAAGGTATTCAGGAAAGTTAAATGCATACTCAAGAATCCACCATCCAACTTAAATAAAATATTAAAATGGTGGAGGTTTGCCCAGACACCTGCTTATTCTGGTTTACCTTCTGGAAGGGACCATAGTCTCTGCACAAGTCCCTTAACTTAGGAGTTGAAACTAAAAGCAGCTTTAATGTGATTGTGTTTGTGATCCCAACCTGATGCCCTCCTACTGTGAGCTTTCTGCTTTTACATTGAGATGGTGTCCCTTGTTTGGTACAGATCGTCTTGATTTTCCTTCTACTTCTTTGGTTGTGTCATCTCAAATCTCAGGCTTCTTAGTGCACTCCTCTTTTTTTTTTTTCAATACTGGGGCTTGAACTCAGGGCCTTGTACTTGCTAGGAAAGCATTCTACCACTTGAGCTACACCTCCAGCCCATTTTCTTTTACAATATTTTTCAGATAGGGTCTCACTATTTTACTTGGGCTGCAATCCTTCTACGTATGCATCCCATGTAGCTGGGATTAGAGGTGCATGCTGCCATGTCCAGCCTATTTGTTGAGATAGGTTTAGATAACTTTTTGTCCAGACTGAACTAGGCAATCCTCTTGAGCTTTGCCTCCAGAGTAGCTGGGATTACAGGCATGTACCACCACATCCAATCCACTCCTCTTTCTTAGTACATCCCTTAACTATTGGTGTTTCTCAGGGTTCTAGCCTAGACCCTCTTCTTTTTTCACTCATTGCAAAGGACACAATTAATATCTATATATGCCTCAAAGTGGTATCTGTGGCTAGACCCTCTCCCTTTAGACCTGGTTTAACAGTGATTGGATAATCTTCTTTTGGATGCCACAGGCCCTTCAAAGTTACCATAGCCAAAGCTGAATGCTTGTCCCTTCTTCCACTACCCTCCCATCTTCTAGCCAAATCTACAATGACTGTAAATGATCCCTCCTACCTCCAAGATGTCCTTGGTTCCATATCTCTGACACCTCCTAGCCAATCATGTCATTCTCTATGGATTTTGCTCTCCCACTCCTCCTGGAATATGCTTTTGCCCATCTTCACCTCCTTACCATATTCCAGTTCATCTCTTCTCATCTGCATTGCTGCAGGGCCTCTTCAATTATCTCCCGACATCCAGTTCTGCTTCTTTTCAGTCTACATTGCAGCCAGAGCAATCTAAAATGAAAATGTGATTTCATCACTCGCCTGCTAAATGCCTTTCAGTGGCTTTTCATTGCTACTCTAATAAAGACCAATCTCCTTAATATGGTTTACAAAGACTTCCACAGCATGGGCCCTGCCTGTCTTTCCAAAATTGTTTCATGCCATGCTCTTCTTCAAAGTTTACCTTCCTGCAGTACTGAACTTAAGCTTTTTGAAGCTATTGTGTTCTCTCTCACTTCCAGCAATTTCCTCTCTGAGTTTTGAACACACTCCCCAGAGTGCCCCTCCCCCCAATAGATACCTGCCTCTGCTGTTCATTCCCAGGTTCCATCTTAGCATTACCTTCACTGGAAGTTTCTGCTGAGCCCTGGTCTAACATCACCCTGTTATATGCATCTTCAATGCATCTTGCACTTTTCCAGTAAGGCACTCTTGAAGTTATGACATTTTTGGCTTTACTATCCCTTCCCTGCAAGTTCTGTGGGAGAACACCTCACTGTCCTCCTCCTAGTGCAGGGTGTGGCACAGGGAAGTGAATCAATGAAGTCTTCCAAGGACTCAGCACATACCTTCTCTGCTGTCGGGGTAGTTAGTCTGGTCCTCTTTGTAAGATAATAAAAGTTCCTTTTAAAACTTACTGTTGCTTTCGATCCATGCATTCATGCTTGCTACCATAGCTTTGAGTGTTAAATTCAAATCTGATTCAGATTCTTTCCCCCAAAGTTTGTTAATTAAAACCAAAGGTAACCATGAAGGACCAAAACATCTGCCAGACAACACAAATCAAGGAAATGTTACCTTAAAGCCCACAGATAGGTCCATGTGTGCCTGTTTTCATCTTAAAGCTTCCTTTGTGTAAACAACAACCTGCAGGTGTTATTATTTCCTGCTTGGTTTATTTTACATTAGAGGGTAAATGTCATCTCTGAAACCTGGTCTCTAATCACGTCTCTGAAGCCACCATTGGTTTTAACCTTTTGTCTCCACTTCTTCTCAGGCCTCACATGGTCCATTAAAAAGGTTGCTCTCCCCAGTTCTCTAGATTCTTTCAAGGTTATTGTCAAGATGGGCACATATGTCTGGCTCCTAAAGAAATGAGAGCTACACAGTGCACATTACTCATCAATGCTTCCTCTGGTCCCCTGTGAAGGAGAGAGAGTAAGTGGGCAGCTTCACTTGATTTTTCCCAGTGTGCTGTCTTCAACCTGCCCTATCTGATTTTCCATCAGGAGGTTTCTTCTGTGAATATCCTCTCTTACCCCAGGCCCCTGAATTTCCTCACGTTGCTGGATACTTTCTTTGGGTGTCTCTTTATCTATATACCTGCGTTCCTCCCTCATCTCCCTTGACGGTTCCTTCTCCTTGTTCCAATACAATTTTTGTTATTCTGGATTCCAATCCCCACCATCTCTTGGTGATATTTTAATATATTATTCTATCAAGTCCAGAAAGGCTGACTAGAGGGGCTTATAAAGAAGCATCCCCAGACTTAAGGTGTAACCACCAGGCATGATGCTCTAGAAACATCTGTTGTATTCGGTTAGAAGCTCTCTCTTCCTGCTCCAGTTTGAAAACAGACTGCCCTGTTTCACTGAGCCCTGGTCTCACTATGGTCACTCTGTTAAATAACAAACTAAGCCACCAAAGCATTTAGTCACAGCAGGAAATCTTTGCAAATAAGATGACTGCAAGTGGTTGTCTGTTTTATGAGGAAGGCTTTTCTTTGGCCAGCTGCTCCTCTCTCTCTCCAGGCAGGAAGGCTCCTTGGGAGAATTCTAGGAGGACCCAGCTCCAGGAGGACATGAAGAATGAAGAACAAGGAAAGGGGCTTCTCCTCTCACCTCCTGAAAACTCAGTGGCATTGCCAGACTCCATCCTTCCCTAGAAACATTGTAAGGGGAGGCAGGGCTGTCCTTCATATTGAAAGGATTATGGCTTTTTTCTCACCTGAGGGAAGTGCTTAAGTCCTGGTTTCAGGGACAAGGATAAGAGGTTACATGGCATGCCTGAATCCTAAAGACAATCATATATCTGAGGTAATTCACTTATTAACCACAGGAGAATTTTTTTAATGATATATAAGTATTCTCAGAGAGGACTTTTCAAATGC